AAAATTGTATACAACTATCCAAATATTAAGTTATGCCCTCCACATTAAGGTGGATAAATGTAAATCTGAAACGTAGTAGTAGAGTGGTGAAGAGCCCAGACATGGGGGCCGGCGGCGGGACATCTTTTAAAGGAAAATCACAGCATACAAAAAATGAAGGGGACTGTATCAAGAATCCCACATACTGATTGCCCAGTCAGCGATTACCAATCCGTGGCCAAATTTCTTTAAGCTACGCCCACTTATTTTTTCCACCACCCATTATGGACTATTTTGAGACAAATCTCAGACTTTCCCATAATGATCTCAATAGGTCTAAGGGAAAAGACTTTCCAGTGGAACAGACTGTAGAGTCACGTTCAGGCTCTGATGTCTAACTGTAGAAGCCCCACCCTTGAGTATTGGACTGCCTTTTCTCAGTAATAAAGGGGATAGTCATGCCTGTTTCTCAGGACTGCATTAGGAGTGAAGCTCAATAAGGAGGTGTCTAAGAAAGTGCTACGATACAGAATGTAGCTAATACATGGCAGCTGTGGTTGTTACTACTCTACACTAGAGTATAGAGACACTTTCAGACTCATTTCCACTGAGGCTCACACAGAATGAAACAGGTACTAAAGACAGTCTTTGAAAGAGGCCCTAAGAGAGTATACTATGGCTTATATCTAGATGTCCCCCAAGGCCTCACACACCGATAGATGGGACTTTGGGGAGGTGATGATCATGGAGGTGCAATACTGGATTAGGCCACTGACTGGTTTAGCATAGTTCTAGTGCGGGTAATACCAACCAATAGGCTTGTAGCCTGGATGGAATAAAGAGGAAAAGATGGAGGATGGCTGCTGCTTACTGCCTGCCATGCCACAAACTGTTTCTCCTCTGCCATGCCACCCTGCCTTAGAGCCAGCTGACTATGGACAGAAACCTCTACAAACTATGAGCTGAAATAAACCTTTCCTCCTTTAACTCGTGAGCATGAGGTACACTGTCCCAGCAACAAGAAGGTAATGAAGAATAAAATCTCTGTGATGTTAATCCTAACTATCAACTCGATTGGCTTGAGAGGGCCCCAGGAGAGTAGTAAATGTCATGCGGCATAACCATGGGGGCTACATCTGGTCCATGGTCCCTTCCCCTCTGGCTCTTCCCTTAGTTCTCAATTTCCTGGCTGCTATGACGTGAGCAGCTTTCTTCCATCCTGTCTTCTTATCATGATGCTTGTCTCGGAGCCAGCCAACCATAGACTGAAACTTCTGAGACTGCGACCTGAAATAAACCCTCTTCCTTTAGGTCATGTCTGTCAGGTATTTCCTCCCAGCCCAGAAAGCCAACCAATATAATCTACTGGCCCTGGAAATTTTAAGTGTAAGATACAAGGCCGGGAGGGGGGCACCAAGGAGCAGGAAAGAGCGATGCGCAGTGTCACAGCTGACTGGAGGGCAGTGCTCTGAAGAGGCTGGTACTCCCCACCACCACAGAGGGGCTGCCTCACCGCTGCCTTCCCAACCCGAGGGAGGCCTGAGCTAAAGAAGCCAACGTTCAAAGAGAACATTTTAAGTACTGAAATCAAATTCTTTTTATAACTAGAGGTGATGAGAAAACTAAATGTAGTCTAAAGTGAGAGAAAAAGTTACAGAGTAACTATTACAGGAGTCATATGATATATATATATTCAATCCAAGAAGAAAAAAATTAGAATGAACTCAAAGTAGAAAGTGGAAGAAAGTCAAGTTGTTGTTTCCCTCCTACCTCATCACATTCAGCCCCTGCAACAGAAGTGGAATGAGGAATGCCTTATAAAATTAACAAGATACAGGTATCAATATAAACACTCAGAGAACTGTATGATCCAGGATTAAAATACAAGACTTGTCACCTCTAAGTAGAATAAGACTTCTGAAGATGTAGTAGAGAAGCCCTTCTCTTTCCGCTCCTTTTCCTTTTATTTCCAATTGTCTAGCAGCAGTTAAGGAATGTTCCCACCAGGGACTATACCCATTCCTCACAAAAGAATGGAAAGAGGAGGAGACAGCTGTTGGGGGTTAGATCTGATTGCCCCTGAAGCCTCAAGAGTTCAGTGGTGGAGCCTGTGGAAGGTGTCTGGATCACAGGGACGCCTGGGATTAATTCAGTGATGAAGCTGTAGCTGAGCGTGCGGTCCGGAGGTGCAGCCCGGCCAGAAGAGGTAGTCACTGTGGTGTGAGCTGCAAGGGTCGATCTCCCTCCCTCACTCCTCCCTGCCTCTCTGCAGCATCCCTGCGCCAGATTCAATCGTCAGGCCCTTCCTACCTTGAAACCAGCCATTATGGACCGAATCTTCTAAAGCCTGGTAGCCAAAGTAAAACTCTCCTTTAAGTGGCAGGTGTCAGGAATTGTGTCCCAGTGATGAGGAAGCGACTAAGACAGCAGTTAATGGTGTTGATAAGACAGGGACAAGAGATAAAAAGGGGGGTCATTTGCTCTAAGATGACTGATGGAGCCCTTCGGTAAAGCACAATAGGACTTAAGGTATCAAAACTGCATTTCCTATCCTTAAAAGAGTTTGGATTAAACATAAAGCAACTACAAAAGATAAATACAGCCTCTGGAAAAAGGGAGGGAGAAAGGAAGACACACAAACCTGAGAAGAGTCAAAGGCTGAGGAAAGGATCCTTGTAAAGGCTACTGTGAAGTCAGATAAAGCAAATTCATAGCTCTCTGAAAACGCCCATCTTAGTCCGTGAGCTATAATGAAATACTCTGTAGATTCTGAAGCATTCTTATGTTGGTTTTGGAAGCTCATTCCACTTAAGATCAATATTTCTTTGAGGGAAAATGAGTTATTCATTACTTTCAACTATGGAAGCACTATACTGACCTTTGTAATAAAAACTGTGAATGCCATGATTTTGAATTGTAAGTAGGCATGAATTTATTCTTGGAAAATATTAAATGCCAAGCTAGAGCTACCACCACTGAAATTATGGGGTATCCAAACAAATGAGACTCTTCAGTGACAATAATGGCATCCCTGTGCCATCCACCTGTACAAATACAGACTACAACCCGCATCCAGAGCGTGTCGTCTTCACAGCTTATGGCATGAATTCTAGACATTCCAGCCCTCGCTTCCTGCACTAACCACAGCCCAAATTAGTCACAGAAGCTACTGTGTATGGTTTAGAGAGGATTCGGACTCATTTTTAGCATCGAGGCTTAGAGTGTGTTATTTCAAGTCTTCTGTTGCTATCGTAATACAGCTGATAAGCCCGTTTCTTGTCTCAATTTCAATTCTGACCTACTAAAACTGTTTGAATAATTGATTAGAGTAAGTTAAGGCAATCAAATTTATTTTTGGTTACACAATCACGGAACTGATTACTTTTCAAATGAAAATCCAGAGAACTAGATTACTTCCCAGAATAAAGAGTTAGCACTAGTACTTGACACTTGTGAGTGAGTGTGGGCAAAGTGTACACAAAGGCTGTGGATCACAAACCGCATCCTCACCGTTTAAATCTGAGTCATGCCCAGAGAATCTAGCATGACATAAAGAAGCTAGTAATTGTGATGTGTAGCTCAAGCTCAAAACTCAGCCATTTATAGTAGATTGATTTTTCAAGGTAATTTTTGCAATTCAAGAAATATCTTGTATGGAAGGCAAGAATAGCACACCAAAAAACAAAAACAAAAACAAAAAACCCTCAGTTTGCTTTTCACTGTTAAGTTAAAGAAGACAGATTTCTCAGTGATAGTAGCTCTTTTATCCTATAACCAACAACCCTTCAAAATAAAATGCAGCTGTTCTAAACACGATGAGTAAAGAGGCATCTTTCATTTAACTATGATTCATTTTTACAATTATTGTCTACTTTAAAATAATCTACTTCAAACATGACTTTTCCTCCACAGAGCAAGAAGTCACCAGTCAAACAGAAGAAAAAAAACTGTGTACAGTTTGAGGCAGGCCAAAGGCTAGAGATGTAGTTCTCCCCATTAAGACAGTAAAGTCACCTAGAATTACAAGCTTCCTTCTTTCCCCTTCCTGAAGTCTGAAAACTAAGCTCTTGGAATCATTTTCACCTAAGGGCAAAGGAATGACAGGACTCCCCAGGAGGAAATAAGGATAACTATAAGATACTGAGAGTAGCAAGTAAATAAACACGCCAGTGCTAATACAAACAAATGGGTGCTGCTCCCTTCAAAGTCACTACCTTAGAAGCTATGGACTCATTCCGATGATGCTGTTATGGGCACTTTGGAATTTGTTTCACACCCTGGAATTTTCCACATCTTTAAAGTTAGCAAGTATGTGCCAGGTATGGTGGCACACTCTTGTGATCCTAGCATTCGGGAGGCTGAGGCAGGAGGATCACCAGGAGTTTGAGGCCAGCCCGGACTTAGTGAGTTCAAGGTAGCCTAAACTACACACTGAGACCCTGTCTCAAAACAAAATGCAAAGTTAGTGAGTATCTGTCTTCTCAGGCTGAGTATAACAACAAGCAAAACTCCTCAGAGTAGCTGTGCTTTTCTCTAGAAAGCTCTTCTTGACATCCAAGTCTAGGTGAAAAGTTCTCTCCTAAATGATTCTTAAACCTCCCTGCAGAGCCCACTCACTTTATGCTGAAAGTGTTACTTATTTATCATCTGTCTCTGACAAAACTAAAACTTTTTCAGAGCAGAGAAGTTATCTATCTTCTCTACTATTATACCCACAGTTCTGCACAGGGCCTAAAAAACTATAGGTACCCAAGAAATACTGAAACGGTGTAATCTACCATAAAATACAGTGGTTTGGAATACTGTGTGTAGTTATCCTGCCCATTTCTCTTAGAAGGGCATCACAGCTCTGTACTTGTATCTATTTAGAGGATGATTATGTTGCCAGGGGACAGGTTTGGATTTGTTCATTTTCATTACTTATTTATATAGGGAAAAAAAGCAAAAGTTATGATGATGTCTTCACAAACTAAAACGTTACAACTTTCTCAGTTTCATATTTGTAAGACAAAATATCTTACCCAGCTGCAGTATCTTTACAGTGTCTCTGTGGGCCTTTGTTACCAGCTTAAAATGGCGGTAAAGTGGGTAGCATAAAACTCTTCTTCCAAAAGCCACCAGAATTTCATGAACATTAGTCCAAGTCTGTGAAATGTCATTTTAACAAGTAGTCATTTCCATAAAACATGTTACACAAACCAAGGGCACAATGAAACAGGGAACTATTTTCAATTAAAAAATAATAAACTTGGATCATCAGGAAGCCAATTAGAATGGAAATATAAAACCAGAAAATGAGATTCTTTTGAACACCTTACAATAAAATATTTTAACAGTCTTTGTAATTTCTCATTCTACGTAAACTTATCTCAAAAACTCCTTAACAATCACATATGTAACAGGAAAAAAGCTTAGAGTCTTAAGGATTACAAATAAAAATCTAAAACACATGGCCATTAGCAAAATACAGATGTACATAAAAGCTATTTTTTAAATGATATATGCTTCATGTGTTTTGTCTTTTAGGACTATTCAAGATGGCACAGATCAAGGATATGCCAGAATCATTTAGCGAAGTATGCTGACAATCTCTGCCCTCTATTTTGGAAAACTTTTATTTTTTATTTTTGTTTTATTTTGTTTTTGAGACAGGGTTTCACTATATGTCACAAGTTTAGGCTGTCCTTGAACTCTCTCTGAGCCCAGGCTGGACTTGAACTCGGGGCAATCCTCCTGCCTCAGCCACTTGAGTGCTGGGATCACAGATGTGTCACCATGCCCAGCTCTAAAAATTTTTCATATTTGCTTTAGGCATGAGCTACACATGACTATTTACTTCAGTAGTTTCCTTTTATTTATCAAAGAGAAAATACTATACTACTGATTCCTGGAGAAAAGTATTTTATCTTGAAAGGTATCTAACTGATACCATCAATGATTCAAAACTTGGTGAAAACACTAGACACAGGCTGGTGGTGTAGCTCAGTGGCAGAACACTTGCTAGCAAAAACATACTAGAGAGGAAATTTTATACAAAACTGTCTTTAATTGGTTTTTTATAAGGAAAGTATAAAAATGTAAATCAGATGTGGAACAAAACAAAATAAATACTAAAGGAACAAGATCATTTCCATATATATTAATCATTTATGCTATGATATGATTTAGTACACTAAGCATCTGATAAAGAATATTTTGTATCTAAAAACAACTACAAGCTTCAAAAAATTCTAGCAAAAACCTAAATACTTATAGAAATTAACATCACTGTTAGTATGTCTGGCAACTCTAACTTATTTCAAAATTTTAACAATTTCAAAGTAAAATTATAAACAGCTAAATTTTCAAGTAGATTTTAATAACTGTACAACATTCTCTAGTTGCCAACTAGTTTCAACACATTAATTGGCACAATAATTACAGAAGTTTTGTCTATTTTATGCTGATCACAGCCACATGAGGAGCCCACTTCTCCTGGAGAAGCAGCACTCTTCAGCGGTAACGCACGTGTACCACCGGGAGACCCGGACTCCCCTTCTGTGGGGCTGCAGGAACCAAGCTTCTGTCTTTCTAACACGCTCCTTCAGGTCCTGTTTACCTCTCTCCTCCTCAGTGAACAAAATGAGGCCATGAAATGACCTTGATGTTTCACAACTTAACATACTAATGGTCGTAACTGATGTTATACTTCTCAATTATTCTACCTTTAATTATGGTTTTGCTATACAGTAGTTTGTTCAAAACTAAAAAGTTTAAAGATGTCATCCTTTGGTATTTCTGTTGAGACCTATACAATTATTTTCTGGAAAATAGATATAAAAACAATCATTACTCTATTTAAAAAGGTATTGCCTCTACCATACTAATTATAGGACCCAGGATAAGTTATTTAGGTTAGCTGATCGAAGTTTCCTCATCTGTAAAATCCGCACTCTCACCTCCAGACTTGTTGGAGGAGCAGGTGAAGTTATGGATACAAAGTGCTTGGCACAGGCCCTGGCGGCCCATTACCATCTAGACTTGTTTCCTACCCTTGAGCTCTGAGCCCCAATATCTGCCAATCTACAAATATACCTCCAGGTGTACCCCACATTCTCCCCCAACAAACCACGTCTCCATTTTTCTTCTAAAGTACATTTTCTTCTCCCAGTTGCCAAAATATTTACCTGGCTTCATTATCACAAATTCACTAGAGACAAAAATCAAATGTACATTGCAAAGCTTCTACTTCAAAAAAATAAAATAATTGCTTGAATTATCAAAAATGAAGTAATGACAACAGAAAACTAACATTTTGAACATCAAAAATCTAAGCAACTGCAAGTGGAAATCATACCTCAAACCAGCACAGTGTTGGACTCAGTTTTCTGATGCTCCATGCAGACTCAACCTGTGTTTTGGAGAAAAGAGTATCATCACCTTTAGAGAAGCTGTAAAGTCATGTGAAAATAAAATATAGGTATCTACTTAAACTAGTATCTGAGTAGTACTGATCTACACAAGCATTAAGAAGTGTCTATAACTGTAGAAAAATAATTGTTTTAAGTTATGTACAGCCTATTAGAGAGAAGTTCCTGTTTACTTGGGATTTGATAAAATAAAAATTTCCTACTGATAAGAATACCAGAACACAAAAGCAAATAAGCATGGGTTTTGAAACTAAAAATAAAGCAAAATCATGCTCAATTTCTGTCCCTCTCCACTGTAACTTGCTATTCAAGTACTGCCTAGGCACTTTAAAAACTGCTTAAGAATTTGGCCTTTCTGACAATACTTGTGAGACTAAGGACATTCTAGAGAAATTCTCAAACATGAAAGATTTCACAGTCTCAAACAAGCAAAGTGAAGAATAAAAAAATGGTAAATTCTGTCAAGTGTACCCCCTCATCAACTCAATGATATGCAGATGCACTTTTCTATCAAAGACAACATTTTATCCAATTATAGTGTCTTCAGAAGATAAATAAAACAAAGTATTTTCAGGTATATTATGTGCTTGATGCCCTCAATAATACTCATTTTGGAGCCACAGACAAACCTCAAGAGTCTTGTAATAGAAATTTTCAGAATCATGACAATTAAAAAAAGGCACATTCTAACTAATGTCACACTAGTGTTAGGATGCTGAATGAAAAAGGCAGACTGAACAACAGTGTTATGATCCAATATAAACACGCACGTACACGCACACACATGTACACACACACACACCGAAGAAGAATGGGAAGAGGTATATCATCTTTCAGTTATTTCTGAACACTGAAACTACAGGAAACCTACATTATTTTCTTCATGTGTGTGTTTTTCTTTACAATGATATAAATTACAATACCTCTGTAATTCAAAAACAGGGAAGCATATGTTAAGGTTAAAGTGCTTCGAGCACATAATTATAAACAGCTGCAGGGCCATGCTAACAAGAAAGACTTTCTCCAGTCTTTTGTAACATACTCAGTCATACAGGTAAGAAAGAAATTTAACTCTTTTATTTGAAAAATCAAACATGATTTAAGAGATACAATAAAGCTATATTATGTTAAGAAGATCATTTAAGAAATAATTTATTTCACAAAAAGATTTAATTTCACAATGTGAGACTTTTTAGCTGTAAGAAAAGTTTTTACAATTCTGATTTACATCTAGTTTTTTGTTTTTTGTGTTTTCATACCCGGCATTGAACTCAGGACCTTGCACTTGCCAGGCAGGTGGTGGAACCACTGGGCCAAATCCCCGGCCCTACATCTAGTATTTTAATAGCACACATTCTGTATGAATTGAGAGGCACTTACAGGTAAAATTCTAAGATGCCCTTTTTCTGAGTCAAATGCTGTAATTTGTATGTGATCATCAGTGGTTTGGAGAAAGAATATAAATGAGTGTGACAGCTGTTGACACCCTTGCCAATGGCGAGTGTCATGTGACACAGATTTCGGCTATGGCCTAAAAGAGATGAGAGCTCAGGCAAGGCTCTCTCTCTCTGTTCACTTTCCTTCCTTAATTAACATCCTTGCTCTGCTACAGGGTAGTGGCAAATGCCAAGACAAGTGGAAAAGACCACAAAAGCACTGTGTTTACACACTGCCCCCTACCCCTGACACACACACACAGCCTCCTCCCGGGGTATGCAGAGTGACTGACTGATCACAATACCCGGACACACACAGGCACACTGGCACTTACGCTCCTCTCTCCTTCAGTGACACGGATCTCATAGCAGTACGCCAGAAGAATATCAATTAAACTGTAGTACACTTGATGATGAGCTGTCTTGTCTAACAGGTAAGATTTATTGACAAACTTTCGCAGCTGATATTTCTCTTCCTCAGAAAAAGACACTAGAAGAAATGCATTAAAAATGTAAGTGTCCCGTTCAGTTTTGTAAAACCACCAAAGTAGAAGATTTGCCAAAATTAGAATTCTGCGTACAGAAACTGAAATAAAAGTTATTGCTACTTACTTCTGTATATACAGGTGATTTTAAAAAGTAAATTTCACAACTTTATTAAGGACAATTCTTCTGCTCAAATCCTAGTAGGTGTTTTAACTGCCATACAAACAAACTGTCCGACTTAAGGTTTTCATAAACTTTTCTTAAGGTCAAATTTGTCTCCTGCAATGATGTGACAAGTTGCCAAATTTGTCCATATTCTTGTTTTATAATTAAAATATACATTCAGTTAAAAAAAATCCCAGTAGGGCAAAAGGAGACATTTCTAAACAATAGTTATTCTTCGTTTTTAGAACCCTGACCCTTTATGCTACACTGCTCTCTAGATAAGGCTTTTAAATGCCGTTTTTACAGACTTTAAAATAAAGGTAATAAATACATTTTGACAGTAGGACTGCCAAATGAAGCACTAGGAAAATACTCATTATCCATTTTGAAAGTTCTCTGTAAAGGCACAGGGACATTCCCATATGCTGACCAGTTTGAAGGGTGTAACATTTATTATTCTTTCTCTCTATAAAGTTTCACATAAATACACAACTGTAACCATATCACATATACTGGACTTGTGAGAAAACAATGTTCCTTTTCAATATGGTTTCTTTGCCCTTTTCTTGCCTTTCTTGCTTCACACCGCTTTTCGCCTTCACCTTCATCAACGTGCTCTCTACTACAGATCACTGCACAGGACCCCCACACCCGCGCAATCACACAGAGATGCGCAAATGCACATACCTCACTCAGCACTACCTCTGGTGCATCCCCACAGCAACCAGTCTGGGGCTAGTTTTCAGAGAGGAGTACAATAGTCTCTACTTACCATGCTCTGTCCAACCACTCCCCCTACTGATGGGCATTCGCTTTGCTTTTACTTCTCTGCTAATGCTAATAATGCTGCAAAAAAATGTCCTTGCCATATGTCCTTGGAATTGGAAGCTTTATTTCTATAAAAGACTCCCAAGAGTAGACTTATTGGCTCAAACATTTGTCTGGCTTTTTAAATACTTCATTTAAAGGCTACAGTAACTCTCCTTCCTGACAGTTATGAATAGACGCTCCCTTTCTTAAACACACCTCCCACCCTGCCCGGCACTAAATGTAATAGCTTTTTTCCCACCACTTTCTGGCTTCCTCGATTTCATGTGACTGTGGTAAACAGAATTCTAAGCTGGCCAACAAGGAGTCACTACACAGGTTGTAGCTCGAGACTTACTTCTGTCCAAACAAATATGGCAACCGGTGCTTCAGCCACTGCCAAGATCATGACCCATCACTGCCAGAGAGCCAGCTCCTCATCTGACAGTTTTCAATAAATAAAATAAGATGCCAAGTGGTGAGGTGGCCTGAGAGTCCTACGTGAAAGCACCAGTGGGGAACTCTAAGCTCTGGTGCTCGCCACAGCTGACAGCCAGCAAAAGAAGCAGGGGCCTCAGTTCTGTTCTGTAGCACCAAGGAACAAAATTCTGCCAACAATTATGTGAGTCTGGAGGAAGCCCACGAGCTCCAGAAAGGGATGCAGTCAACACCACCAAGTTTTGTTTTCTTAAAATTAGCTACAGCCTTCCAAAACCCTAAGCAGAGGACTCAGAGGCAGGCATGACGCCGGATGAACAAGAACCGAGATCACGAAGGTAGGCTGTGTTCATTTCTTAGTGTCTCTCTCACTGCTAAACTCTGAGCATTATTTCACATGTATTTTGGCAATCTGGATTCGCTTTCCAATGAACTAGCTACTGGAATGAGTTCTGACCCTTTTTCCTATTGGATGTCTTTGTCAAATTTTTAAGAACTCTTGGTACATTAGAGATAGAAATCCTAACCAACCCTCTAATTCTACTCGGTGGACATTGATTTTGTTTATGGTAAATTTTGTCATTGAAATATTTATTTTTTATGTTACCAAGTAAATCCTTCTTTTAAAAAAGATTCTGGACTAAGAGCTTTGGTTAATGTTTCTCCCCTCTGAACTGGACACTAAGTCTCTTTAAGATTAATTGTTTCAGTTTCTACATTTAAATCCTTAATCTTCCCAGAATCTTTAGATTTCATTTATTTCAGCTGCATAGTTAATTGGGCCACCACAATTTGTTCAGTAATCTGCTTTTTCTTACTATATTGAATTACCAACTCTGTCAAATGGATCTGTTGCACTACTCAGTAAAAACTACTATTTCTAAATTAAAGTATTTCTGATTTTTGTCATTTTGGTGAACGCTGTACTTTGTCCCATTTCCATTACACAGTGCTTCTTGATAAAACAGAAAAAAGCCTGCGTTTGTTGACTTTTTTATTTAGTGGTATTGGGAACTGAACCCATGGTCTCCCACCTGCTGGGCCAGCTCTCTACCACTGAGCTACAACCCCTGCCCTTGTGTAATTTCTGAGACAGGGTTTAGGTTGCCCAGGCTGGCACTGAACTTGGGACTCCAGTAGCTGCGACTACGAGTATGCACCACCAGTGCCTGGTTACTTCCTTTTATGTTTGAGCCACTTTACCAAATATTGGCTACTTGGTCCAAAACAACAAACTGAAATACTTATAAGTGGTACACTTATCAAGTGCAAACCTATTATAAATAGGTTTGTGGTCATAAAGGCAAGTATAAGACTGTTCCTAAGTTTCCTTTGACTCCTAAAGTAGGCAAACTATCATAAAATAGTCTCTTACATCAAGTCTTCCTATAGTTATAAACAAAATAACATATAACATGCTTTTATGTTCAATTGTGTACCTTCACACATTGGCAAAATGTTATTACCAGATCCTCATATACCTCAGTGCTCATACACCTAGATCAAGATTTACAGAAAAATTAACAGCTCAAAACATGAACAGCTCAGTTCCCAGCTATTACAAGCAAAATGTTGTCTAGCATTTGTCTTTGAGCAGTTTTCCAAACTAAGCATCTACACATAGAGATATGGCTAAATAACGGTGTTACCAAGCTCTCATCTTGCAAAGTAATTTGTAAATTTCCTTCCAGCCTCTATCAAGTTGATCACTTCAATTTCATTTAAAAAGTTTTTAAACACAGTTGAAGGAGCACATCCTGTTTCCATTTCTGGTGCTTCATGTCAAAGTAACTTTTCAATCATTTTCTCCAGGTTTTAGAATCACCCATTATGCTCAGATAAATACAGACTAACCTGCTGGGACAGAGACCCACACATCCACAACACCCAAGAGGCAGTGGCTTAAATGAGACAGAACTTAGTCTCATGCTACACTCTTGGTAAATGATTCAGGACTAGAAGTTTTCGGCTTCCTCGTATGACTTCCATCTACGGGTCCAAGAAGAGCTTCTTGGGGTTTTTATCATTTTCTAGCCAAGAAGAAAACAAGAAGAGGACAGCAAGCTCCTACTTCCTTAGGACTTGGTCCAGGAAATGCACATATCACTTCCACTCACTCCCCATCAGCCAGGGCTCAGGCACAAGACCACAGCCAGCTGCCAAGGAGGAAAAGGAATTAGTCACTGGCTAAGTGGCCACTTACTCAGCTGTAACCCGAAGAGGCCTTTTACTAAAAAGAAGGAAAACCATGAAAGGATACCTGGCTCTCTCTGCTACCTTTACAGAGATGAAGAATTATTAGAATGCCTTTTCGATATTCCCAAACTACTTTCTGGGTAGCAGGTTAGCTACCTAGTCCTTTTCTGTCTCTTCCTTTCTGCTCATTAAAACCTGGCAAGAGCCACAAGATAATCTGATCACCCACAAACACCAGACCCATGCGTTGGTCCAGATAAGTGTCCCTCAAAATTCCACCCGATAAAGGCTTGGTCTCCATCCCCTAGTGCTATTAGGAGTAGGCAGAACCTTGAAAAGCTGGGGCCTAGTGGGAGGTCTTGAGTCACGGGAGGTGTGCCCTTGGAGGGGATGGTAGGAATCCATCCGGCCCTTTCCTTTCAGTCTTTCACATTCTCACCATGGCGGGATGAATGGTCCTCACACACACTTCTATCATGTGCTGCTGCCTTACCACATCGACTCAAAAATGACAGATCGGGGGCTAAAATCTCTTAAGACCATGAGGGGGAAAAAAAAATCAACCTTTCCTCTTTTTTTATTGTGTTATGTATTTCATGAACAGTAATGGAAAGCTGACTAATAGAACCCTATTCACAATGTTCTAAACTTCTGTTCTCTCTGAGCCCTTAAACCTGACATGCTTTTTTTTTTTTTAATTAAAGGCTTCCAGTTCCAGTGGGTTTTGCACCACATCCTTGAGGGGCATATGAGACTCTGAAAACACTTATTTTAAATTACTACAAGCAATATTTTGCTCATTAAAATACTTATCACACACACAAAATAAAACTCCACCAAAAAACAGGATCTGGGTCTGCGTGCGTGTGTGTGTGTGTGTGTGTGTGTGTGTGTGTGTGTGTGTGTTTTGGCAGTGCTGGGGATTGAACCCAGGCCTCTATGCATGGACAACCCCAGGTTTTGAAATAGATAAGCTTATATACTCATTTTTCAACTACATAAGCAATCTTACATAAGAAAAGGGATATTTGTACAATCATTACTTATGTAATGGATAAATAATTTTTAAATTCATTTAATTTCTTGACCAGCACAATAAAGATACGTGTGTTTCTTTAACTTAATAATACAGGTAGGCGTTAAGTGAAGCATTCTGTAAAGACCAATGTTTAAAAATGAAATATGACAGATAAACTGGGTGCTGACTGCCTCATTAAAGAACTAATCCTAAGGTTTCTTAACTTAAATAGAAGCCCTCAGTTTACGTCACGCAATTTAACCTAAGGAAACAGCATGAAGGAACGTATACACAATGAAAGCACACCTAATGAAGTATTTGAATGCCCCCTGCATCTAGTATCAAGATTTGAGGCAGTACTCCCTTAAGCACAGTTTTCC